CCCCGGGGGGGGGGCCCCACCTTGGGAACCCCCCCCCCCCCCCGCCTTAGGAGCCGCTCTTTGCCACCCCGGACTTTGTCCCTTGTCCCTTTGAGACGACGGAGCCGAGAGGAAAAATCCCTGCCGGGAGGAGGTGAGAGCAAACCGGGAGCACCGTACATCTTTGCCACCCCGGACTTTGTCCCTTGTCCCTTTGAGACGACGGAGCCGAGAGGAAAAATCCCTGCCGGGAGGAGGTGAGAGCAAACCGGGAGCACCGTCTCTTTGCCACCCCGGACTTTGTCCCTTGTCCCTTTGAGACGACGGAGCCGAGAGGAAAAATCCCTGCCGGGAGGAGGTGAGAGCAAACCGGGAGCACCGTATCCCAGCACGCTTCCCAACCGGAACGTTCTGCCGATCTGGGAAGATCGGAGGGGGGGATCCCTCCCGCCGTCCCCTCTGTCACGGGGAGGTGACGGCCATCCCGCGGCTGTCCCACCGTGGCCGAACGCGCCGGGATCGGCACGATGGCAGAGAGCGACCAGTTGGAGCATCCCGGCTTGGATAGAGCAGCAGGGGAAGAATTCCTACAGGAAGCCTTCCAAATCCTGCTGGATGAAGGCGTACGGAAAGGGACGGATGTGACCGAAAAGGTGGGTGACACCCGCAGCCCCCCACAAGGTGGTGGGGGTCCCTACTGGGCCGGGGCCCGATCCTGCGTCCCCGTTTCCCGCAGGTCTGTGACTGGAAGGAGCCGCGGGAGCTGCGGGAGCTGCTGGACCTGGAGCTGCGGGGAGGCGGGGGGGGAGCGGCTGCTGGGGCGCTGCCGCGACGTCATCCGCTACAGCGTCAAAACCGGTGAGTGCCGCGCGCCGCGCCCAGTTCGGCCTCGCCGCGCCCAGTTCAGCACCGGCTGGGCCCAGTTTGACCCCACCGCACCCAGTTCGGCCATGGCTGGTCCCGGTTCAGCCCTGGTTTGGCACCACCTGGCCCTGGTTTGGCATCACCTGGTCCCAGTTCAGCACCACTGTGCCCAGTTTGGCTGCGGCTGGTCCCGGTTCAGCCCTGGTTTGGCACCACCTGGTCCCAGTTTGGCCCCACTGCACCCAGTTCAGCCGCGGCTGGTCCTGATTCAGCCCTGGTTCAGCATCACCTGGCCCTGGTTTGGCACCACCTGGTCCCAGTTCAGCACCACCTGGTCCCAGTTTGGCCCCACTGCGCCCAGTTTGGCTACGGCTGGTCCCAGTTCAGCCCAGCTGGTATCGGTTTGGCCCTGGTTCAGCACCACCTGGTCCCAGTTGGGCTCCACTGTGCCCAGTTTGGCTGCGGCTGGTCCCGGTTCAGCCCTGGTTTGGCACCACCTGTCCCTGGTTGGGCACCACCTGGTCCCAGTTCAGCACCACCTGGTCCCAGTTTGGCTGCAGCTGGTTCCAGTCCAGCCCACGCGGTACCGG